GTTGGTATTGCTTTGCTGCTGCTGTTGTTGTTTAATACTCTAATGCAGTGCACAAAAGATGCTCAATAATTGTTAGGCAGTCAAATAAAAATTAGGATAATCTGATCTGATTATTTGGAAATTTTGACAAGAAATAAAAATGAAACTTCAGCAGCATGCCTGAAGTTTTGTGCCAACAAACCCATTTCACTCCTCCTTGTACCAAGAGCCATTTACCAGTCACGATGGCAGCATGGCCTCAGCTTCGGCTCAGGGCAGATCACGAATGTGAAAGTGAGCTAACAGGAAAAGGAGCTATAACTGGCAGTCAGTTCAGAAATCCAGTTAGCATATTGTTAAGGATGATTCACTTGCCAAATTTTAGGTGATTTTACTATGTAGCATATATAATCATGTATACCAATAGGATCTTTTTTTAGACTTTCTCTCCTTTCTAAGCATGAAATAGAAATCTATTAAATACTCCAATCGTATGACTAAGTGTAAACTCCCCAGAACAGGGGGAAGCCAGGGTTACAATGAGCACTCCCACGGCATGCAGAAGCGGATCAGGCACCTCGGGGCTGAGGGCTTTAATCAGTGAAGAATCCATGGAATGAGCTGTTGTGAAACAAGGTGTAACAATGCCCAGCTGCAGTTGCTCAAAGTTTAAATGTTTCATTCTTGGTACAGAATTTAGATAAGGAAAAGTTCAAAAGACTTACATTTCTATGTAATACACTTATGTAAATGAATAGTAAATACTTATTTTTACCCAGTGTCCAAGCTCCAAAAACATTGAGGTTGAAACAAATCGTTTGAGATTTTTATGAGAAATGAGATACTGAGCATTAGTTTAATAACTGTCCACAGTGATCTCCAATGCAAGCCCTGTTTCTGATGTCAGTGAACAAAATTTACTGTCATCTAATGTCTCAGAATTTCCCTCGGCAACAAATGCCTTTAACTTTAAGAGGTTGGATGCGGTATAATAGTGGCATTATTTTGGATGACTTTGGCTCCTTGGACTGAAACTGGACTCTTGGACAATATTCATTGGTCCAGTTCAGCCCAAATTCACAGCACCTCGAGTGTCATTGATAATTATTCCTGGATAATGCTCCTAGATATGAACCCGTTTGAATGTCTGGATTAAACTTTTCTATTCAATGAGTTCAAAATTTATTAAACCCATTATAACTTTGTGCAAAATGCCTCTAAGTAAGAAAAAGAGACTCTAATAGAAAAATGCTTATAATGGGTTTTAAAAAAATCACTTTTTTCTCTAGATTCCTTTGCAATGTCAGAAGTATACTCTGCTGTGGAAGTATGTAATAATTATTTCAAGGTCAATATTTTGGCATGGCTGCTTGCTTATTCTTGAGGATACTTGGTGTGCCTTAGGTAATGATCATAAGGTGTCCTTCTGTCCCAGGCACCATCTGAGAGGATGCCTAGAGGATGCTCTGAGGATACGTCCTCAAGTTGAAGCACATCATGTCTTGCCTGCACTGTATCTTCACTACACATACAACAGATTCCTCAGATGCGAGCAAACAGAGGCCTTTAAAAAAGCAAAATGACTGGATCCGAGCATCCATAGATTGCCAACTCCTCATCTTTAAACTTTCCTCACCTGTTTGTAAGTTCAATCATTCAAAATGATTTGTGTCTGGGGCTTACCGATGAATATATTTACTTATGTATCATTTACATTAAGAATCCTCTAGTTTTTAAAAAATTATATTTTATTGTTTATGTTATTATGGTTGTCCCTAGTTTTTCCCCCTTTGCTTACCTCCGCCCAGCACCCCCCACTGCCTCAGGCCATCACCACGCTGTTGTCCACGCCCATGGCAGAACATGCATATTTGTTCTGTTGGGTAATCCCTTCACCTTCTTTCATCCAGTTCCCCCTCCCCCAACCCCTCTCACAGCTGTCAGTCTGTCCATGTATCCATCCCTTTGTTTCTGTTTTGCTCATTGGTTTATTTTGTTCATTAGATTTCACATATAAGTGAGATCATATAGTACTTGTCTTTCACTGACTGACTTATTTCACTTAGCATAATAGTCTCGAGATTCACCCATGTTGTTGCAGAAGATAAGAATTCCTTTTTTTTTACTGCTGCATAGTATTCCATTGCATAAACACGCCATGGCTTTTTTATCCACTCATCTACTGATGAGCACTTGGGCTGTTTCCGGATTTAAAAAATTCTCAGCATCACTAACCATCAGAGAGATATAAATTAAAACCACAATAAAATGTCACTTCACACCTGCCAGAATGGCTACCATCAATAAATCAACCAATAACAAGTGCTGGCGAGGCTGGAGAGAAAAGGGAACCCTGGTGCACTTTTGGTGGGAATGCAGATTGGCACAGCCACTGTGGAAAACAGCGTGGAGTTTCCTCAAAAAACTAAAAATGGAACTGCCTTTTGACTCAGCAATTCTACTTCTACTACTACTTCTCAGTATATCCTGAGAATCCCCAAACACCAATTCAAAAGAATATATGCACCCACATGTTCATAGCAGTGTTATTAACAACAGCCGACCTGTGGGAAGTCCCCTCTACCTCCTGAAAGAACGGTATGACGTCAGAACCTCTGATGGTGTGTGAAGCTAATTCCAAAAGGAAAGAGTAATGAGGTCATCAGATGATATTTGAAAATAATTCTCCCACAATATTGAAAATGCAATTTTAATATTTGTTCTAAAGAAAGTGACATTTGGAAGTAGTGGTAAAGAGTGTGGGCAGGGGTGATATAATTCATCTCTACTGCATTTAGATGCAAAATAAAAACACATAAGAGATACACTTGTAGGGTTAAGTATATCTCCTCAATGTGTGGTGCCCTTCCTCACTCTCAAGAGGTCACTGAGCAGGTAGATCAACCTGTATAGCCCAATCAGTCTCTGGATCTAAAAGTCACAAAAAAATAATACTGATGCAGCATATACATATGATCTTGGACACTAATTGGAAGACATGTATTTCTGAATCCTAAAAAATCTGGTTGACAGTTGTAAAAATCATTATGTAGCTCCCAAGTGCATGATATTAAATTCAGGAACACATATATGAAACGAATTTAAGAAACACAAGTCAGAACTATCACTTCACACCACTATGATTACCAGGGAACATATTTCTAAATCTAAGTTAAGTTGCTTTCTTAAATGAGTAAAAAAAATTGCCATATTTTGCTGTATATAATGTGCACTTTTTTGCCCAAATTCTTGAGGGAAAATAAAGATATGCATTCTATATGAATATAATGATTACATACCATAGGTATAATAATAGGTATAATGACCCTGTGAACAATGTGTACAAAAACATGGGTGCCCATTATACATGGTAAAATACGGTACATTTTGCAAATCTGGATCATGTATCTTACACATGATTGACTATAGGTCACGGACTTGGTAGGTGCTGTTTCCCCAGAATACAAAGTATTTGTAGTCCCAAGGAAACTATCTTTGCAGTGTCATTCAATGCGGTGGATGATTGTTTTTTCATGGTCCATCTATCTGAACTTTTTCAGTATGACTTTACAGTCCTATTTCTTTACCCTCATTTCCTGTCAGATTATGAGCATCCCAGACATGTCTGACAAAGTCATAAAATCAACAGTAAAACTGTAATACATCAGCTCTGGCTGGTGTGGCTCAGTGGATTGAGTGCTGGTCTGTTAACAGAAAGGTTGCCGGTTTGATTCCCTGTCAGGGCACATGTGTGAGTTGTAGGTGGGTCCCCAGTTGGGGGTATGGGAGAGGCAACTGATTGATGTATCTCATTGATGTTTCTCTCCTTCTCTTCCTCCCTTCCCTTCTCTCTAAAAATAAATAAATAAAATCTTTATTTTAAAAAAAGAATATAACGCATCATAGATTTTATATATAATAGACATTTGAAGATTTGTTAACTAAGGTAGAGTCAGACCCTCCATAAACGTTCATTTATGTCCTTCACTTCTCCCCTCCCTCCTTCACTCAGTATTTCTCTTTCTCACTTTATCTCTGTCTCTCTCTCCCTTTTCCCTCTCTCATTAGCCATCACCTTGTTTCTGTATCACCACATTGTAGGAGGCAGCCTAGTCTCTTGCGATGGCAGTGAACATGGTCATCAGCCTCACTGCTGGAATTTGGGATGCATAATGTCCTGTCTGTGCTCTACTTTCTCTAGGTGAAAAATCAAAAGTCTCTGTCTGATCCACTGTTTTGCAAAGGGAAGTTGTGAGAAACAATACCGTAATAGACAGGCTTTCTTCCACATATTTTGGGGATTTTGTGACATTTAAATATGGTATATATGCTTCCCCAGAAACCACGATAATGCGTATGAGCTTATAGGATACAATCCAAGTATTAGTCCACATCTTATAACACCCAATGCATATACAATTTGGGAACCTGTATGTAAGAAAATATTGCCAATGCTAATGTAGGTCCAAAATTGAATATTTCTGTAGGATAGGAAAGAAATCATGAGACATCACAATGAGGAAAGGCTGGCAAGTACCAGCAACATCTCAAAACCCAGAAAAATAATACGTTTTAAATAAACAGAAAAATGGACTTGAAAAATAACTAAATAAAAAATCATACAATGTTTCCATTCATTAACTAACACCTCCTCGAAAACACTACTTTTTTGGCTGCAAGGTTTTTAAAAAATATTTTATTTATTTGTTTTTAGAGAGCAGAAGGGAGGGAGAAATAGAGGGAGAAAAACATCAATGTGTGGTTGCCTCTCATGCACCCCCCACTGGGGTCCTGGCCCGCAACTCAGGCATGTGCCCTGACTGAGAATTGAACCTGTGACCCTTTGGTTCACAGGCCAGCACTCAATCCACTGAGCCACACCAGCGAGGGATGCAAACTTTTTAATATGACAATAAAGCTATAGTAAACAAAAAAGAAAATGTATTCTTTTGTAAAGTATACTACCGAATACTATTTTTATTATTAATAACTTAGACAAGCTTCTGTCCATTTGGGTCTGTTGACAGCAGGTTTGACATGTGACTTCATCTGAAACCACCAGGATCTGTGCGGGCGCATCGGATTGGCCCAAACAAAAAACCATGCGTTGGGGTGCGTAAACAGGTACCTCCACATGGCCATCTCATTGTTCAAAGTCCTCCTACAAGTTTGTGTCTGAAAGAAAACACAGGAATCCTTAAGTTTCTGTCTCACATGAATCACATCAAAAAATTAATGTGCCTTATTATATAATTGCATAAACTGTTCAACTGAGTACATTCCATTTTGACTAGATTTTCATGAGAATTGAATTCTTTGTTTACAGTTTTCCGTATCAGGGGATTGGAAGGCTATCCCACAAACTAGTTCTGGCTCTTCACATTTAAAGTCTTTTCGTTTTTCTTCCACACCCGTCTGCCTCCAGTGCCACAGGGCAAGTTAAAACTACGGGTTGACCACCGGCTCCGCGCCTCTGATCAAGACCCGAGGTGATCTGGCGGAGCGGGCAGTGAAGTCCCCAGGGCAGCCCTTCGTACCCTGGGAGGGCTAGGAAAAAGAACTTCACTCCACGTTAAAGTAACTGTGAAACACACAAATAACCCACTAAGGCCGAGCTAAGTGTGTAGTCAACTGAACTCTCCCTTTAGCCAGATGCCGCAACACGCCGAGCTACCACTGCCTGACATGAAGGAAGCCATGGCTGGAGGGAAGCTGGAACGGAAACAGAGGGCCCTCCTACCTGATGAAGGTTAAAGTGGGTTAACTTGGTAAGTTTTCCAAACACGTATGACCAAGGGAATATGGTACTTGAGCAGCTCCCACGAAAGGGCTCTGTACACATGTGGGACCAGAGGTGTAAAGTTTTATTAACTTCATGAGAAATCTGTCTTCAGCACAGATGTGGGGTCAGACACACTGAGATTTCAGTTCCTTCCTCGTTTTATGACATTCACTAAGTTTCTGAGCCGATCCAAGTCTCAGTGTCCTCATCTGGGAAATAGATATCATAAAAGTTTTCCTTTGTGACTGTTGTGATGTGTGGAGGTATGCAGATTTTATGTTCCAGACACTTAATAGTTGGTAACTATGTTTATTGGTAGATGAAATACTCAAGAATTTTTTACCCTTTATAAAATAACTGAACACTCCACACTATTACCTAAAGTAATAAAGTAAACCTTTGGTTCCCAACACCTACCGTTCTATATCTGTTCATTTCCCTTATTCTCCTACCCATAAACACACTTACCCTTCTCTTATTTCCTACTTCAAAGCCTATGCATGTATCCTTCTGTACCAAACCAAGACCTCACCCATTCTTTCTACTTTTTCAGATTTTTTTGTCTTTAAATCTTTTATTTTATTTAGTTATTTTTCAAGTACAGTTTTTTGCCTGTTTCTCCCATCCCAGCCCCCCCACCCTGTGCTCCCCACCTCCCTCCCATTTCCACCCCCTCCCAGTTCTCATCCCTGTGTCCTTCATATTTGCTTCTCCAAATCCCTCCCCTTTTTCCCCCTTAAATTCCCTTCCCTCTCCCCTCTGATTTCTCTTCAGATCGTATAAATCTTTCGCCTTTTTCAGATTTTTCATCATTTCTTGCTAAGCCCATTCTCTGAAAGCATACAGCAGTCCAACAAAACTATGAGGTGGGTCACATCTATCATTTAAAAATTTCTATAGCCAGGTTAAAACAAATAAAAAATTAAATCCAAGTCAAATTAATGTTAAGAATATTTTTATTTAATTCAATATATCCAAAATATTACTTCAACATATAATCAGTATTTTTAAATTGCTAATAATATAGTCTATGTTCCCTTTGTCTTGCTATGTGCTGGAAATTCAGTGTTATTCTACACTTACAGCACTCTGAAGTCACAATAACCATGTTTCAAGTGCCCAGTGACTACATATCTAGTGGTTCCCAGAGTGGTAGCACGTCTATAGCAGGAAGAGTTTGTGCCGTATTATTTAATATGTAATTATAGAGTGTCGTTACGTTTGCTGGTGTTTCTTATATGTCAGTCCTGTCTCAGGTAGTCTCTGGGCTCTTTGAAGAAGGGAACTCTTCTCAGAATTCTTTATCTGCAGGATGCAGCATTCAAACACAGCGGTTGTTCAGTAAATGTTTGCTTATCGACAGTTTGGGTACATTTAGAAATCCTAGAAGGGAAAATGCAACAGACAATGTGATTTCCTTCCACCTGTGCTATTTTTATCACTCAGGATATAAGTTCTCAGTGTATGCAGAATAATGTCATTTGAAGACCAGTATTAATAAATCTGCTCTGGCATTAGTGTGAATAATGCAACAGGCAAAAATAAGAGGGAGTATTGCCCATGGTAATGTTTGGACTATAGATGGAACAGTCAATTTAAGGTCCTTCTAAATATGAATGGAGAAAGATGTAATCTTTGTTTTTTTTTAATGTCTACTTACCAGCGATCAAAAAATAGTAGTTCACTTTTGATTTCCAACTCTGCTGTGGAAGTAGAGGTCGCTTCCCAAATACAACCAGGGAAGTCACATCTAACAGCACACCTCATCTAGTGCGCTACACCGAACTCAGGTCTTTCCACAAACCTCAGAAACTACGACATGCTAAAGAATTTGTCACACCTTTGGCCTGGTAATTTTTTAAAATTCAGATAAGAATCAAGTTCTACAGTACAAATGCACAAGACTTTCAGACCCTACACAGCCATTATAGTAACACTATAGATTCAAGGGGAAGTTGGATTTCCAAGCATCGTCTTTGTTCCTTATGGGAGTGTAAGGAAACACTGCTACAACATGTCACTGGTCTGCGGGACGACATGCCTGTAAGGTACGATCAAATCGTCATGACTTCTAAACATTTTTTGAATGTTTATTCTACCCATGGCTTTGAGTTACAGGAGATGAATAAGGTGTGGCTTCTAACTCCAAGAAGCTTATAAATGAATCATAGAGGCTGGGTACAAGCTTATGGAAACAGAATCACAATGCATAGATGATTACAATAAATACTAAGTTTTTGTCCACACAGAAGTCACGAAAGGAATTCAAACAGGGGAAAGTGGTCTCTGTTCAGGAATGCTGGATGGAGAAGATAAAATTTGCTCACACCCTTTGTGAGGATTTTGTTAAGAAAGCCAAAAATTAGAAAATAAAATGAAATGCTCCAACATTAAGAAGTGAGTCAAGTTGCTTTTAGCAGTGGTACCTGCAAACACAGTATTTTGTGGGATATGTTTGGAAGGCACTTTTTATATATTTTTAATTGAATGTATTGCAGTGACATTGGTTAATAAAATTACACAGGTTGCAGGTGTACAATGCTACAACACATCATCTGTATACGGTACTGTGTGTTCACCAGCCCAAGTCTCCTATCACCATTTATGCCTCCTTTACCCTGTTCTACCTTCCCCCAGTCACCCTTCCCTCTGGCAATCACAATGCTCTTGTCTGAGTCTCTGTTTTTATTTTCTTTGCTTAATCTCTTCACCCTTCTCACCCAGCCCCCCAGGCCCCTCCCCTCTGACAGCTGTCAGTCTATTCTCTGTGTCCATGAGTCTGTCTCCACTTTGTTATTTTGTTGATTAAATTCCACATATGAGTAAAATCATGTGGTATTTGTCTTTCTGTGACTGGCTCATTTTACTTAGCATAACGCTCTCCAGGTCCATCCATGCTGTTGCAAAAGGTAAGATTTTCTCCTTTTGTGGTTGAGTAGTATTCCATTGTATAAATGTATCACAGCTCTTTTATCCACTCACCTACTGATGGGCACTTGGGCTGCTTCCAAGTCTTAATATTTCTTCTGATATATCAACTTGGGCAAGAAAAAATAAGCAAATGGAACAAGATCAAACCAAAAGGCTTTTGCACAGCAAAGAAAACCATCAACAAAATGAAAATCCAACCAACTGCATGGGAAGACATATTCACTCATACATCAAATAAGAGCTTAATATTCAAAATATATAAGGGAGTTACAAAGCTCAACACCAAAAAAAATCAAGAAATGGGCAAAAGAACTGAATAGACACTTCTGCGAAAAGGACATACAGATGAACAACAGACATATGAAAGGATGCTCAACATCACTAATTACCAGATAAATGAGTATTAAAACACAATGAGATATCACCCCACACCTGTCAGAATGGCCATCATCAATAAATCAACAAACAGCAAGTGCTGGCAAAGCCTTGGAGAAATGGGAACTCGAGTGCATTGTTGGTGGGAACATTTTTATATTTCTATCTACTTCAATTCCATTTCTTGAGTATCTTTTTAAATAAAAGTACTGCTGTTTCATCAGCATTTTCATTCCAAAAACTCAAGTTGAATTTATTTAAAAAACTTAAAATAAAAGTCTAATTATATTCTAGAATCAAACAACACTTTTTCTCCCTTACAGTTATATTTTAAATGTATTTTACTGTTAAGGTTCCAATTTACAAATACACATCTATGGTGGGTTTTTTCCAAATGTAATAATATTCCAAAGCCTACATTTGTGTATTAGATTCATTTAAAATATGGCCGATACTCAACAATTTTGAAGGATGTGTAGTACATCAGATGTAACATTTAAACTAAACTCAGAAGTTAAAACTCTCTATAAACAAGAAAAACAGAAAGACTCCAAATAGAAGGCATGAAAGTCAGAGGCAGTTCGTGGGTCGCACAGAGTCCTGTGGTCTCTTGAACACTCTGCCCAGCGGACTCAGCCGTAAGGAAATGAAGCATGTGAAATGCGCCGGCGGAGATGCGAGCACGTGGGCTTACTGAGGGTGGCAGACTCTACCGAAGTGGCTCAAGAGTAAGAGGCCATTGATGAGAAGAAGGTTTGGATTAACCATGGCCTTGAAGTTAGCCCTGGAAAGTGAGTAGCGTTCAGTTGTGAGAGGTGCATTAACCTCTTCAGACCACTAGGGTTCAAAGTGTTCCGTAAGGGGTAATTTATTAAATGGGTCCTAATTGCCTGGTAATGTACCTTCCCAAAGTCGCTTCACGATGCTATGATTAGGCCTGGGATTTGCCAAGTGCTGTCATGCTCTGTGTGACTCCATAATGGAACTCGGGGATGTGGCGAGCGATCCACTGGACAGCTCCGTATCTAATTGGGGTTCGCAGTCCTACCAACAAAGCCAGGCAAGCTTTCATTTAACTTCCCAGTGTGTAAACGCGGAGATAGAAAACTGATACACCTTACAGGAAAATACACCTTTTGCCAAATAATACGCATTTTCATCGAGTATGGATCATTGATTATATTGTTTTGAGAAGATAGACACGTTTTTAAGATTTGTGAATTTGTCCACTTCATTAAATTCTTTCTTAAAAGCATAAAATAATCATGCTTTTTGTTTCCACCACCTACAAGCAAATTTTCCCTTGGCCTCTGTTTCATAGGAAGGCTAATCCACATGACTTTCTTACCAGGTTCCAACACAAAACAGCACCAGTTCTCCCAGTCATCCCCTGGGTCAAGCCTTTGCTAATTGGCAAGACCAGCAGAGGGAGTGCAAGAGCATCGTTACAAAAAGAAAAAAATTGTTAATGATAATCACAATTAGAGGTAGAAAATCTGACGAACTACAGATTTTCTACTATAGTACAGCAGCACCTAAACTTAGAAGCAGCCTTGGGAATATCATACAGGTAATAGGCCAGAACCACAGGGATAGAACTTGTAGGCACTGCCCTAGTCTGGCAATGGCCTTGAACTCACATCACAGTCTTGGCTATCACAGTAACTTTCGTTAAGATAAAAGCCTTTCTTTTCCTTAAAAAAGAGTGATTACTTAAAGATTGGGAATTCTTGTCACAAGAAAGAAGCTGATGTAATTTCTGTCTTTCAGGGCTTCAGGCCATTTCTCAGATTCGACCAGGAGTGAAACACAGCTAGGCGGTACCCCCTGATGGCCTCAGAACAGGGGTTGATTAGATCGTGGGGTTAAACACATACCTTTAACATGAACAAATAAAAATGGCTAGGCTCCAAAGTGGCGCAGGGAAGCCTTTTATGTGAGAAAATGACATATTTTAATCCCACACTTGCCTTTACAATTCCTATTTCCAGACCATATAAAGAAGTTACACATTTTCCAAAAATGTTTCAGACTATTTGTTACAGTGCAGTTCTATTCAAATCCATTTCTCAGTGGTTTGTGGTTATTTAGAACCTCAATTTCACCCCACCGGTAACGTGCTAACCATTGCGTTTTTCAAAAGTCTTCAACAGCAGTTCCTATGAGATAATTTGTGTGGCCCTCATAAAAACGTTTCCCCAAAAGGCATCTTTGAAAAACTATAACCGAAATAGTCCAGGCTGTACATCACACAGCTACGTGAAATCTTTCTTTGTTTTAGGAGTTTGGGATAATCTTGAGGATGGTGCAACCTCTCTGGAAATTCAGCAGGAAAACAGTTTAGAAAGCACATATTCAGTTCTGCTTTCTCCAGTAGATGTCACTTTCTGTACATGGATATCAAGACATATAAGCCATGCAGTATTCCTTACAAGGACGGCAAAAAATAACTTTGAGATCTAGCCATATGCAACGATTTTTAAGTTTCCATTGGTATTTTCTAGTGTTAGGAAAGTTAAGAAATAGTAAAGGCAAAAGGAGGCTATGATTTGGCCATTGTACATATTTCTGTGTAGCCTCTGCGGTGGCCATTAAGCATAACATGTGATACAATATTACCAGTGCCTCTGCAACAGTTACAGAAAGCTAAGTGTTATTTATTCCACATCACAGCATAAAATTAATTTGCCAAAAACAAACATGGTTTCTGAGTAAATAAGTGGTCATTAATAATACACTGCATACACACCAAGAACCTAATTAAGTATGAGTTCACCTAACCTATTATAATTTCTAGAATTATTCTTGCTAGGTCCTCTATATCTTTTGAATATTCATTTACATCAGCTTCATATGTCTAAGAAAAGACAAATCTAGTTCACTTAAAGTGATTCACCACACAGCAAGAGATATCAACACTAGAATGAGAAAAAGAGAGGAGAGTAAGGGGACAGGAGGCAGGAAGGGGAGAGAGAGCGAATTATAAACCTTAAATAGCATTGTTTATGTCCTCCACATGTACAAGAATGAAAATCAAACGATGGAAGAATATTAATAGTTAGAATTAGATTAATTCTCCCTAAAATACTTTGCAAAATGCTCTTTGCATTTTCAAACATAAGCCTCATTATGCTGTTCTATTTGTATTCCAACACAGTTGAGTTTTATATTTGAGTTGTTTTAATAGATGACTTTGAAATGACAGAGGGGAGTACGTTTTTGTTTCTTATTGATCCAATCAAGCTTTTGCTTGTATCTACTATAACTTCAAATAATAGGAAACGTTACAGAGGCTTTTTAAAATGTTGACGTCTGGGTCACATCTGATTCAGTCATTGTATTGATAAATGTGATTTGATAATTGCCAAATTAAGCTCAAGAGAAAATTAGTTAAACAACTACTTGTATTTGTAGATGCTTCAAACAAAAGATATGAAGTTTGGGAGCAAATAATTATAGGGTGCTAGAACAAAAATTTCCCAAGAAGGCAAAATGGGCATGTGGCTTTTACAAAACAAAGGACTCTATCTGGTCACCAAAATAAACAACATCCCAAATGGTGCCTTTGGGTTTCAAATGTTTCGTGCTTCAGAGTAAACCCAAAGAGCCCAATTCTTATCTGAGGTAGAGATTTCTTGACTGGGAACCTGGAAGTTCTGTTACCATTCTTGTGTATACTTGGTTAACACAAAGAGATTATAGGCTTTGAGTGATAAGGGGATTTAGAAGCTTTTTCACCTCTAGGCTACTGCTTCAGCCACATTTCAGGTTGAAGAAACCCAAGGTCCTGCAGGTACCCAGGGTGTGGAGTTTACTTTTAATTCAGTCTGAATTAGAACTCCACTTCATAAAAAGCCTAGGGCATTTTTTCCCAACTCTTCGGACCAAATATGGTTGCCAGAAAGAACAAAGATTGAATTGGAAGAAAAGAAACAAACACAAACTAAGGACGAAGTGAATTCCTGAGGAAATAGACCTCGCTGATCCATCTACTGGGTATTTTCAAGAATGGTATCAGTTCTCTGCCCCTCCTGGTCTCCTACTAGTGTTGTTCAGTAAGTAAATATTAATCTAGAATTCTGAGAGAAGATGATGCCATGGGAATATTCTTGAAAATAAAGACAACTGATTGATATCGGGCCGTGGAATTGCTTTGCTTTTATCTGATCTCCAGGAAGGACCCTGCAAAGCTCCCAGTCGCGACAGTCGCCGCGGGCTTTTCCTGTGCAAAGCAGGGCTCAGTGTCTTACAAGGGCTGCGTGCACAGCCAGTCCCACTCAGACAAGAAGACCCAGCAAGAGCTGGAATTCCCTGGAAACCTGTGCACGTATCTTTTTCTGTTCTTACACTTCTCTTCCTCCTACACTACTTAGTATCCTATTGATGTGATAGGTTGGAATAGAAAACTCAGGACACTTTGCTCAATTGCTTCATTCCACAGCCCTAACATTTAAAACATAATGATTTCATTACCATTATTTGAACCATGTCTTGTATTTTCTCCTTTAAATAATCTTATCAAATATTAAATTAATTCAAAATAATTTATAGCATATATGTAAAATGCACAGGTGAGTAAATAAGGTAGATAAGTCAGTTCCCAGCACCAGATTCTTGAGCCTTTCCCCAATCCATTCCTCTTCCCTTCCTTTCTCCATAGTTAAAAGAATATCATCCTGAATTTTGTTTTAATCAGCCCATTGCTTATTTCCTTCTCTCTAAAAAAATAATATAAATGCTCCATAGGGATTTTTAAGTATTGACTACTTGTTTAGAAACAACAATAAAATATTTGAGAAAATTGATGTATACAAGCAATTTTGATCAATTCAAATTTGCTTATTCAAGCAAGATAGCCTGTATTATTAGCATTCAATTACAAAACCATCAGAATGTTATGGAGTGTAAGAATAGTTTCTACCTGCATACATCACTTAAATCCTGTACAGTGCTCTGCACATAAATTGCACTTTTAATAAATGATGCTTTCAAGTCACATAGTAAACAAACAAACAAAACTTGGATTCCAGAGTTCTATGTGTTATATATCCTTTAGTGGAGGCTTAAAAAACATTAAGGGTTATATGATCTCTCACCCAAAAATAAGATTCAAGTCTAGATAGATGACAGGTGATTCAACTTCTGAGTATATTACTAAGAAAAAGATTCCTCAAATTACCTCGTCACCCAACCAGCCAGTTCTCAAGGTCTGAGGGGAGCAAGTCCTCTAAAGGAAGAGTGGAGGGCATGTACCCAGAGTCCTCTGTGAGGAGGGACTGGGAAATAACTGAGAGAAGGGGGACTGAGGCTCCCTGAGGCATCCTGTCTTCTCTTCTTCCACCTCCTTTCCTCCTGCAAACCAATGCCCACTCCAGACCCAGTCTGCCGCCAATATGCAACAGAGCCTAGCTGTCCTCACTTAGCAGGCACATCGCTCCGAGTACGTTCCTGCTTCTTCTCCAGAACATCTCTCCTGGGCCCTCAGGCACATCCCCATCTTTGGATCTTGTGTCAAGACCACTGATCCTGGATTTACTCCTTTAAAATTTAAGATGACACCCCCATTTAGCATTTAGGAAATTCTAAGTCAAACGTTCACAGGTAAGTTATAGTGTACAATCACTTAAAAAAAAAGATTAGACGATACCTTAGCTTTGTACTAAAGACAGTGTCCTGAATTCACAAATGTTATCAGCATGGGTGGTTTTAACTGTTTCAAGCTGTTAAGAAACTTCGAGGCTTGAACCTGAAATAGGAAAGGTGCAACACTGAAGGCATTGGTTGGAATTGTGAATAAGACCCTTGAAAGATTGATTACCTCATGACACATGTGACAACAGGTGCAGGAATAACATTACCACCTCAGTGTAAAGTAACCATAAATATTACTAATGCTTAATTTCTTTGGTAGTTTAAATAATGTTGAAGGCATCAAAGGTGTTGAAAATGAGTATTAGCAAGTTGAAGATTTGCGTAATAATCTTTGTAAACAAGACCTCTTCCATGTCCTCTACTCGGTGTATTTCAGGAGGATTTTAATTTTTTTATCTTTTAGTCTATCTTCCTCCCAACCCTCCCCCCAACAGCCATCTCATGGACCAAGTCCTCAGAGCATCTTTTGCTTGGACTATTTTCCACGTCTTAGATGTTTACCTTTCAAATCCTCTGCATGACACTACTACCAGACTAAGCTTTGTAAGCCAGAGTTTTTCTTCTTTTGATTCTCTTTAGATGAGTTCCAATTTTCCATGGAAGTAATGCCAAAATCTTTAGTGTGGCATTTAAATAAGTTTTCTGTTTAATTTTCCAGCCTCACCCCAACTACTGCAAAATCTGTACAACTGCTAATCTAATGCATAGTCGTTTTTATGCCTAATGGAACCCCTTCCCTACAATGTTCCACTTCGCCCTTGGCCCATTCTGTATTTTTGCCTGCAATCCCACTGTTCCCCCAAACCAAGTGCTGATTCGATGTACAATTCTTCAATTAATTCCCAAATCCTTAGAGCTTTCAAAGCACTTTCATCATGCTTATAATATATCATTAATCATGTACTGTTTAATATTTTAATCATGAAGAGTACGGGTCTTACTAATTCACCTGTTCCTTGCATGAGGCTTACACATGACACAGCCTTCAATGTAGAATACCACGCAGTCAACACAATATTTGTTGTAATTAATTGAATGGTTGAATATACATATGGCAAAAAGAGAGGGCTACTATTTTTATTAAGGTCTTGAAAGAATATCCCTTGAGTATAATAATTATATGGATAATTTGTTTAAAAACTTACCACTGTGTAATTTTTTCAAAGAATGCTTATCTGGAGTATTTCAGAGTCCCAGGACTAGTGCTGGATTAAGAATTCAAGTACAGCCCTGGTGTAGCTCAGTGGATTGAGCATGGGCCTGTGAAGCAAAGGGTTGCCGGTTGGATTCCCAGTCACATCACATGCCTGAGTTGCTGGCCAGGTCCCCAGTAGGGGACACATGAGAGGCAACCACACATTTATGTTTCTCTCTGACTCTTTCTCCTTCCCTTCCCCTCTCTGTAAAAATAAATAAATAAAAATATTTTTAAAAAAAGAATTCAAATACAGTTAAGACCCAGCCCCTGACTTCTAAAAGCTCAAGACCTAGTAAGGAAAATGGGCATCCAAATACAATTAACTATAATATAATATGTTAAGTATTCCAGACAAGGCTAAAATCAAAATCCCCTGACAGCACAGAGTGATTCATTCTTTTTTTTTTTTTAACTCTTGAAGAAAAGAAGTGGTAATAGGGTGTGGACCGCCTTAAGATCTATGAAGTAGATCTTAAAAGACAAGTAGCTAAGAAGTCAAGCTGGCAAATACCATATGATCTCACCTTTAACTGGAACCTAATCAACAAAACAAACAAGTGTGCAAAATATAACCAGAGACATTGATATTAAGAACAAACTGGCAATAACCAGAGGGGAGGAGGGAGGGGATACTGGGAGGAAGGGGGAAGGGTTTCCAGGAACAACTATAAAGGACACATGGACAAAACCAAAGGGGGCTGGAATCACGGGAGGGAGGTGGGGATGGCTGGGTTTGGGGACAGTGGTGGGAGGTAAATGCAGACAACGGTAACTAAACAACAATGAAATAATTTTTAAAAATAAAATAAAATAGCTTTGACAATTAAAACAAAAATAAGTCAAGCTGGCAATAGCCATGCAGGTGGTGCACTACTGGACTTCAGGGGCACCATTCATTTAAACTGCCCTGGAGGCCTGCAGCAAGGCAGCCAGTGAACAGGCAGGCCTGGCCGAGAGGTGAATGCCGTGCTTGATAGTTGACTTGATGCCACGTATAAGTTTAGTTAAAATCTTACTAAGATTTCACCTTTCATTTTGTCTTTTTTAAGCCTCTCTTTCATAAGGTTTTAGGAATTTTTTAACAACCTCTGTTTAAAAGGACAAACTAAGAACATAATCATTCTTGCCACCTCAGTATTCATTGGAATAGTTATGGAACAAAATAGATTGCAGACCCAAATGAGCTCACCATAAGATTTCCTAGTAATCATTATTTTTTAAATTCAATGTTTTTAAACTCAATGTTTTTAAACCTTCATAGTGATTTCCCTTTTCTCAAATTAAATGTTGTTGATATTAATATGCAAAGAAGAAAAAGAGTCACAACCTTTGCCTGAGCTCCACCAACTAGTCTCCCCTCATGCATCAAGATTTGCTGGTTTCTCACAGCCCTAGGGCTTCAGAGGCAGAATTTGAAAATTGCCACTTCTAAGCCAACCTCTCCTTTTATAATTAAGGAAACAGGGAGTCGAAGAATTTGAAGTACCTTGTACAAGTTCATATCAGCAGTTTGTGGCAGAATAGGAAATAGAAGTCCCTGAACTGCCACTCCACTGCTCTTTCCAGATAAAATTAATTCTATTTACATAGCAAAATGAGCAGGAGGTCCAAGGGTCTCCCAAAGTGACATTTAGGATTGAGAGAGACTGTTTCCTTGCAAGATTACACAAGACTTCATTGGGATTCAGCAAGTCAGTGTTAAGTAATTCAGAATCAATGCTAAGTCCTTTATTGTATTCTTTTTTCCATTTTGATATTGAATTACTAGAAATGACAGCTCCCAGGCCCTCTAACTTCTTGATCCTAGACAGAGGGGATGGCAAAAGAAATACTTAGTGGTGGCGCTGGCTAGTCAGACACTTTCCTGCCATAGAAATCAAAATTGGATATATTATCTCCCCATTTTAAAAAAGAAAAAAAAAGACTTTTCTCTCATGTCATAGATTATAAGAAAAAAAAACCAAAATGACTGGATTCTTTGGCTATTCTAATATGTTATATCTTAATTTAGAGATTAAGCAATATATACACACACATTATGAAGAAGGACTTTATCAAAATAATCAAATATATAGGTGTTGTAAATTATTCTTCTTGGCAAGAAAGTTTCAGTATTTATGACTGAATGGAACTAAAATAATGTTAGAACTCAATACAGGGATGGGATAAGTGGAGCTACAAAAAAGGAGAAATAGGGTTTGCCTACATAGACCCCTGCTATTGGCAGTCATTAAATCAAATACTGTAGCTAAACAACTTAAAAGAAATGTGGATAACTTAAAGAGACTTATTCTATATCATGACAAAACATTTGCTCAAAGGAGTAATAGAAATACTTGCTGCTTATTGCTATCCAATTGGTTAATAACTTTAAGAGTAAAAAAATTTTTAGCTAGAAATCAAAATAACAAGATATGGTTTACAAATGTAATGCGCACCTTGAGCTGAATCAATACTGACAAACCATAATTTCAGACTTCACATAAAGATCTTAAAAATTACCAAGGCCACTGCTTTTGGAAGTCATGGATATTCTTGACTATTAATAGCATAGAAGTCATCTCGGCTTCTTTCCTCACAGAGCAGACAATTGGAGACAGTTCAAAATTCTCTCTTTCTAATTATACCACATCTGAATCTCACCTCCCGAAGCTAAATGTCTGCCTTAAAACATGGCCCAGAAAGATGATATAGATTAACTTTCTGAACAGACCCCAATCCCCAAGCCTCTTCCAAAGTCAGTGCTACTGTGTGCCACGGTTTTCACGTGACGTCACCGATGTCGTCACTCATCCTGGACTACAGACCCGACACAGTCAAGGTCTGGACACAGCGAGCGTCTTGGAGAAATACGTTTTAACTTACAGGCGGGAGTAACCAAAATAGAAACTTCTGAGAAAAATTAATGGAAAACAACTCCACGTTAAGGCAGGCCCTATACAAATCTTCCACTTGTAAGTCCTCCCATTTCAAGTATCTCTTCATGCTCACATACATGTGTGGCCTCGCACATGTCCCAAAGCCAGGGAAGCAAAAGAGTCAGTCACAAATTACTTGCTGAACTAAATAAAAAAATTTTTATTTAAATTACAAAGTTGCCTGCATTTCACATCTCAAATTATTTCCAAGGAATCTTACCAATTGTCCTTATATTTGGAATTCATCTACTCTCTGCTAAGTTAAAAAAGAAAGCATTAAAACTATATCATCTCCAGTGGAAGTTATTTTGTCACGAAGGGATTTAAGAGTTGAGACATCCTCTCAGTTCATGTATGCCAGATAATAACCTTTATTTTCAAAAGCAACTCTGTGGGAATCGGCTTCTATCGAATTCTGTTTAGGAGAGCAAGCCAGGGCACTCCAGGCGCAGCCTGAAACTCAGCCTCTGAAAAGGAAACTGTGTCCTAGGGGCGCGGGGGTCATGATGTCCAGCCACTTTCTACCTGGCTGGTTTCCAAAAATACACGACAAATTGAAAAACATATAATACACGCAAAAAATATTTATGTGTTTTCCTCCTTCATCAGATACACAGTATTTTTTCTCCCATGTCACAAAAACTGTAACCGCAATTTACAAGTATATGCACAATCAAATTGCTATTGATTTAGTGATGCATTTCTTTGATGTCCCTTGCCTTAACCTCATTTATAAAGCTGCTTTGCATTATTTCAAACTGTCAATGATTTGTGACTCATGAATATTCCAGTTTAATTTGCACCTACCTTTTTGGTATGCACGCTTACTTGCAATATGTCTCTGTATTTGCCCTTTTGTTTTGTATTTATTTGTGAATTGTTTTATTAAAATAATGCTCCTTTAAAAGCATGGTAAGTTTATTTTAAAAAAACACACAGAAGTTGATGACTTACTCTTCTTGATCTCCATACACTCAGTACCTTTATATTTTGCTACTTAGCAAGTTCAATCGTTTTCTTAATGTGCCTCTGGTACTAAAATAGCCATGCTTTTGCTGGTAGCTGTCAATTTCAGTGAGATATGTTTAGTTTTGCTGGAGTATGTGTCTCTAGGAAAGAGTCAACAATTTTTAAATGAACTTGAGCCCCACAGAAATAATAGAGAAAAAAGGGATTATACCTGGTGGAAAAAACAAAAAGTTTGTACAGAACTGAGCCCTTCATGTCAGTGTGGATCAACTTTTCCACTTACATTGTGGAATGCAAGAAATGAAACCTAATGCTCTCCAGCACTGAAAAACCCTTTTAGATGTCTTTCAGATGATAATAGCTAAAAGAGACACCCAGGACTTTGTGGACTGCAGGCGTGTCACTAGTGATTGAAGGTCCAAAACAGCAGAGCAGGGAAGCCACCTGCCTATAGAATGGGCAGAGTTTGTTCTCACAAAACCTGTTCAGGGACAAATAGAAAGTGTCATATGAAAAAAAGTGGGGTAAAGAACATCTCTTTTGAAATTGATTTCTGGATTCAACTGAGATTTCTAAGAACATCTAGACAATTAAGTGCCCTACTTTGCCAAAAGAAAAAAGAAAAAGAAAACATTTTCAAATATTTATGTTTTCATGCCAGCAGCTAAAATAGATAGTTAATAACATTTATAATGCAATAGCTGTGTGTTCCCTTAATTTGCCTCATGTTCAGTTTCTAAACTACTTTTTAAAACAATAAAAAAATCATCTTTGGTAACCTATTGCTTTCCATCACACAATAAATTTGTCCCCACATCCACTAAATGATTCTGTACGAAGGATGGACACAGGTCTTGGAGCATTCTATCAAACCAATGACATCATTTTCTTTTTACAAATTTCTCCTGGTCCCTCAGTTGTACATATTCTCCCAGGTTATATGATTTCCTTATAAAAGCTACTAAATTGCTAAGTAATCTCTTTTGTATTCATTTTTTTTCACCTTGAAAACTAAGTTTTTAATCTCTGGAGAAAGGTTTGGCTGCCGTGATATCTTATTGTTTATATATGTTTAAACAAATATCTTTTGTCTGAAAGAGTTTATAATGTTTTCCCAACTTTA